TAGGTAACTTTCACTGAATGCATCTCATCTCTTCTATACCAGCTTCAAATCCAGTTTAAAGTTGGCTGCAGTTCATTTCCAAGTAACTTCCTAAAAGGAGCCCAATCCCTTAATCCTTACTTATACGGAAAGTTGCTGTTTACACAAGTCACATCACTGACTCCAGTAGGATGACTCACGCCATAAAGGTTGGTCTGAATTAGACTAATCCTCCCTCCCCTCCCCCCCTTTTTTTTAAAAGAATTTTAAAGGACACAGAAGAGCTAACATGTCTCTATCTAGTCTCCGGCATCTACCAAGAACACCAAACAAAAGAGGCAGACTACCTGGCAAATACCCTTTGTACTTCCCGATGAAAGTGAGATAATCAATATCTCTAAGTTAGAGATAGCAAATGTTTCTGAACCGAAGGGGGAACAAGTTTTCTCCACCACTAGGTACAACAGAAGCTTTAGTATTTGAAAATCTAAGAGAGTCATATACTGATATAAACGGTGTGTGAAATGGGCCAGCTATGTCTCAGGGATTAGGCAGGAAGAATGTGCGGGTCCATTCTATTGTTTTCAGCAGAAGGAACCCATCTCACTTTACACACCCAGTCACTACGGAGACCTCAGGACCCTACGGACACAACTGCAGTGAAAAAACTTATTTTAAAACTAACGTAGTGGTCTTTGAAATCTCAAAGAGGATCACACATTTTCATGTTATTGTATGGTTAGCAACCTTACCTGTTGATCTCATAACAAACATCTCTCTTGGTCTTAGATTCTTAAATTACTTGTGGCTTTAGTTACCAACCTAATTTGAAATCTAAACCAAGTAATGCAAGTGCAAGAAAAATGTTTGCATGCAATTATGAGGAAGCACGCTTTTTTTCCTTTCCAACTTTTTAAGATTATGCTTTCTTTTCTATTGCCTCGACTTCTACAAAAATAGACTCAGTTTAGCAATCTGTGCAGCCTGAAGCAGGGGCAAGCTAGATTAGCTCATCTTCTTCAAATGCAGCTGTGCCAATTGCTGGCTACCGGTATCTCCATGTTCTCTAGCAGAGGAAAGGCCTGAGAAAGAACATGGAGCAGTGTTAATCCTGTCACAACACAGATACGCATGCTCCAAACTATAAATCTAAATCTGCCTTCTAGTAAGCATGGCCAGAGAGGCCCAAGCTGGCTGGCCACACTCGGCCTGGGTGATATTTTGGTGTGCAGTCTGCTACCGAGAGCTGCCAACTTGTAACAGTGTGCCGGGTCTTCAGTCAGTCACACTGTGGCACTGATGAAGAAGAGAGGAAAGGAAAAAAGTAGAGATCTCAGAAGTTACGGTTGGTGAAGTAAAGCATGCAGAAATAGTTTTATTTCCTGTAAACTTAGCGAAGTAAATTGGTTCTGCATTTCTTCCGTAATTCCCGTAACTGTTTGGGACTTGTAGTTTCTCGTTTAGATTATACTTGTCAATAAATGCAATTCACTGACAAACAACGTTTCCAGTGTTGTGGTCACAAAGGCAGGTAACCTATTGGTGCAAAATATGAAGGCATAAATTCAAATATTTTGCAAAATATGATAGAGCAAGCTTTTCAGCTAGACTCTGGAAAATGACTCCCTCAAAATTAGTTGTTAGGCACATACTAACACCACCTGAGAAACACAAGAAGGGCTTAGCATTGAAAGCACTGGATTCTCTGTCTTTTGATGTCTTCAAAGTAAGACAAAATGCCCCTTGAAAAGTGTGCTTTAAGTAAGTGCAAGTTACTGAGCTCAATTCAGAGAAACCAGGTAATATTTCACAGCTTGTGCTGGCCAGACGAGATGATGCTATGGGACTTCTGGCTTTAAATTATGAAAAGTGGAACTTTATTCACCTTCTTAAATACTCCAAAGCCTCCTCTCTCTGTCAAGAGAAACAGCATTTTTTTAAAAAGTCAGGGCAAAGCCACTGCCCTGGATTAGAAATGGAACTGCTGAAAATTCTGCCCTCCCCGCCT